GATTATGAGATGGCTGGGTTATTAAATTTTGCTTTTTCTTCAGTTTTGACTAATGAATATTTAAGCAGTATTCCTCATTTTGAACAGTTGATAGGTGGAAACAAGATCGAACAAGTTGATCACATTAATTCCAAGCTTGTTAAGAATAAATAGGGAAGCTTAAAGAACGATAAGGCTCCTGGGCCAGATAATATTTCCCCAAGGGTTTTTAATGAGGTTAAAGATTGGATACGTTAGCCATTTGCTACTATTTATGTCAGTCCTAGTGAGCAGGTACCAGAGGATTGGAAGTTAGCTAATGTAATTCCTCTTTTCAAAAGGGAGGTGATAAATACTGTCCCAGTAATTATAGACCCATTAGTCTTACATCAGTTGTGGGAAAAATTTTGGAAAGTCTGTTAAAAGATGTTTTGCAAAGTCATTTAACAAAGTTTAGAATTTTACTGGATAGTCAACATGGTTTCACTAAGGGAAAATCTTGCCTTATAAATATTTTAACATTCTTTGAAAAGGTTACTGCTTGTGTAGATTGAGGGTAAGTGTGTAGATTTGGTGTATCTGGATTGTCAGAAAACATTTGACAAGGTGCCACATAAAAGACTTATAAAAACATTTATCTCTATATGTGTGGGGGACAAGGTAGCAAATTGGAAAGAAGAGTGGCTGGATGGCAGAAAGCAGAAGGTTGTTACAAATGGAGTTCAGTCAAACTGGATTAATGTCACAAGTGGGGTACCTCAGGATTCAGTCTTAGGACCTTTGCTCTTTTTGATTTACATCAATGGCATAAATGAAAGAATGGTCAATAAATTACTTAAATTTGCTGATGATATTAAGGTCTTGGGTGTTGCTGGCTGTGAGGAGGATGTTGCTGCTTTACAAAACAACTTATATAATTTAGTGAGTTGAATGAATAAATTACAGATGGATTTTAATTATAATAAATGTAAAATTATGCATGCGAGTTATCATAACTTGAATTATAATAAGTATAATTTGGATGGTAATAACTTGACAGTTATGGAAGAAAGAGATCTTGGTGTAGTGGTTGATCAGCCATACAAACAGAGTGCTGTTGCTAGTGGTAGGGTAAATAGGATTTTAGGTTGTATATACAGAAATATTAAATAAAAGTCGAAAGAGGTTATAATTTCATTGTATAGGTCACTGGTTCGGCTACATTTGGAGTATTGTGTTCAGTCTTCAAAAAAGAAAAGTTAGGGGGGATCTGATTGAGGTGTTTAACATTGTAAAGGGAATTGATAGTGTTGATGCATCATTTTTTTTTCATACTTAAAAGTGAGAATAGTAGGACTAGGGGACACAAATATAAATTTTAGCAGGGTAGGTGTCATCTTCAGCTAAGATAATTATATATTTCTCACAGGATGGTTGGCTTTTGGATGTTGTGGAAGCAGTAAAGTTAAGTGAGTTTAAGAGAAAGTTTGATAAGTATACGAATGATAAAGGCTGGCTTCAAGATTATATTTTTAATTTAATTATTAATAGTTTTAGTTCAGTTTAGAAGATGGAACAGCCGAGATGGACCAATAGGTCCCATGTTTTTCCAAAACATTATGTATGTTAAGACAAAATGTTCAACTATTCACATTCCAGATTCTTCAGTTAACTCACTACTAATTGATCTGAGCTTTCTTTACTACCAGAAAATAGTATAACAGGACTTACACAATATAAACACTAA